CTGTAGTCCCAGCTACTCGGGAGGCTGAGGCAGGAGAATAGCATGAACCCAGGAGGCAGAAGTTGCAGTGAGCCGAAATCATGCCACTGCACTCCAGCCTGGGCGACAGAGTGAGACTACATCTAAAAAAAAGAAGAAAAAAAAGATGAAGAGATAGCCTCACTGATGGTGGGACACAGGGCAGCCTCAGCGCACATCAGAGACCCTGTCCACCAGAGGGCTGGGACCACCCAGGCTGGGTCTGTGCCCCAGGGTCACTGGCTGTGGGCTGCTGGGGGCACTAGTGACCCAGCTCTGCAGTCGTGTCTGGGCACTACCCAGTAAAGCCAGACCCCCACGTCCTCAGCCCCCAGGAATTCCCAAGAAGCCCTGAGCGCCCCAGGATGTGAACAGAGGCTCCTGGGGCTCGGTTCTAACAGCAAACAGGAACCTCCAAAATCCCGCCCACAGCTGGCAGGTCTCCAGGCCTCTCAGTCTCTTAAGGGCTTTTGAATGTGAATCCCAACTGTGTGCTCTTGTTACAAGCTTGGATTAAAGCTGACTCCGTTTTCTATTTTCACGAGTACTTTTTCGACATTAAGCTAGTTCCACGGTAAACAGAACGCTCTCCATGGAAGGGCGCGGTGGTGCAGCGACTTCAGGAACAGAGGGGCCTGGCCTGCGTTCCTAAGGGGACAAGTCCAGGCTAAGACAGGACGCAAGTCCAGTGGAAAGGCATTTTCATGACCCTAAATCATTTTACAGGACAAACAGATGATCAGAATTGTAGTAGCCCCAGGTTTTAGGGCTCACGAGGGTCTCTGAGGTGCTGCTCCGAGGCCTCGCCATGGCCCGGCTAGAGCGGTGTCGGTGGCCGGGGGGCCGGGTCGGGAGGCCGGGGGGAACCAGCGCCCTTGCGACGCGCTGCCCTGATGAAGACGCGTGCGCTGGCGCTGAAACGCCAGGGTTTACTCCAATATCCGAATACTTAGGAGGTAAAGCAGGAAATACGGACGCAAGAGCCTTTTCTATGGAAGGACGGGCTGCGGGACCCAAACCCCTCGAGCCCCTTCCTCTCCGGGGGCGCAGGCTCCAGGCAGGGACCCCCGGGAAGGACGCAGGCTCCGGGCAGGGACCCC